TTTCATCACTAGAAATCAATGCCTTTTAAGTGCTTATTAAGTTGTCAGCGGAACTCCTCTCTTGTTTTTTTTTCAGATACAGAAATGTTGCTATGAACACAACACTCTACATACAACGTAACTTTAGGTTAGATACAAACCTATCAAGGGTGGGACGTTAAAGTTGAGTTACATGAAAAGTTAGGAATCACATATCTTATACTAAAAATGCTTTGTTGAACACAACTGGATTGCAGTTCAAGTATCCAAATATATTGATAATAGTGGAGTCCCGCTATGTCAAGTATGAGACAGCTATCCACCACAAACAAGGGATGACGATTCTGCAATACCGTAAACTGATTAAATTTAAATATGTACATCACTGGATATCACTTCAGTGATCTCAACGTTAAGCGTTTTGAGCACGATGTTGAAGGTCTTGGGTTTTATTTCTAGATATGGAGTTGTGGACGAGTATTACTGAGAAGTCCAATACTCGGGCGGTATATTTACCCGGAGCTCACAGGTTTTGATGGAGGTTTAGCTAAAATCAATTCTTGATTTATACTGTGAAAATAAAGATGTGGGATCTTAAGTATAATGAGGTTCACACGTTGAGAGGATAATTTTCATCAAGTATTCTTCATGTTGCATGCTTCACTTGTGAAGGTATTATTGTCATTCTAAATAAAACCCTGAGCACAAAATCGAAAGTGAACTGCTGAAATTTCAACTGAAATTGGTGCAGTTTATGGAGAAACTAGTACTCATTGACTAGATATAGATTCATATAATGAGTCATACTCTTATTGTAAGGGTTAGTGATACAATCCAATTACAGCTACGGTAACAGGAGAAACGAACTCTGAACTTGAAACTGAGTGGAATACAGTTGAACGCTACCACCACTCAAGCAATCGGAGAAATAATAATCAACAAGAATCAGGTTAGGAGATTAAAATAATCGAAATAAACAGACAAACGATAAATGACAGCACAAATATTGGCAAGAACCAATCAGATACTGTCAACAGAATAACCAATTGTTAGTCACCTACAAAGGAATTCTAATAGTTAACTACTTTCTAAAGCTTTTACTGACGGTATTGTCCGGGAAGACTAATAAAAGCTTCACCAATGTTAAAAAACGTTAAAATAACAGAATGTAAATAAATTAACTGTAAATATGGAATAAAACTGAATGTTAAGACGATAGATAATTGCTAATGTTTCTGATATTATTCAAGCTTTAATTCCAGTGACCTTGCATTCCCATAGGGAAAACATACAGACAAGTAACCAAGATATAAATCTATAATTATGAGCAAACTAGTTTATATAGTTTCTGAGAATTGATGTTATTTGGGAACCACTGAAAACAAAGAAGTGCTAAACAGATATTCCACTCTAGTACGAAACTTCTCAGTAGTCCACGGTCCTGTCAGTGTCAAATAATGCTTAATGCATCCTGGTTTATAATACGATACATTTTCCATGAGAACCCTTGATACCAACTCCCTAGTCCCTTCCCAGATTTCTTAAGTACTCCGATACTTAAGTCCCGAACGGTAAAGAAAAGGCACGAATTAAAAAGGGAAGCTTTGTTTCAAGGTTCCTTTATGTCCAGAAAGCAATAGTATTTCTGGGTTATTGAAAACTTCTGTCAACTTTTGGAAACATCCTAAATTAGGAAACACAGTAAGTAATCATCTAATCAGAGTTTGAAACATGATCTGTTAATTTCCTAGAAGTTTTCATACCGTAAGCTGATTGGACGGAATGCTTTCAGCTTTTGTGACATAAGCCTATTAAGAACAATAATTTTCAGTCTTTTCTTATTTTCTGAATACTTTATCGAGGAATTCTTGTGTGATTCCAAAGAAACATTTATCTAACTAGGGTCTACATATTAGGCAAACTATGAAATTCAACAATCCGCACAAAGCGCATATGCTGAAACAACTTTAAATATATTATAAAATGAATTAAGTAATAAGTCAAATAAAAAAGTAAAACCATTATGATCGAAATAAATTTAGATAAGGCAGGAGTGATATACTACTAATAAATAATCATATCAACTATTCGGTAAAACGTTTCATACTATATTGAACCCTGTGAAATAAATAAAAGATATTGAAAATAGTATGAATGCTAAATTACTCTTATGGGGACTTCCTTTAAATACAGTATTTACATAAATATGTAAATTGACACTTCTTCACATAGTATAAAAAGGATCATATAGTGAATAATAATTAGTCATCTTCAGTAATTTATTATGTCCAAAACAAATCTGCAGAAATCGATGCAATTTTGAATATTAAGAAGTAAGTTAAGCACATGTTAGACAAATCAGTCGTTAATTAAACGTTTCATGGGTAACATTTAATGTTGACTTAGCACACAAATAAAGATCATATCTATCACCCCTTCATGCGTTTTATTTCAATTTATCAGATTCACAATATAGTTATATGGTTAAGCGATCTGCACGTTTGAAAGATGGTGTAGGACTTGTATTACACCTATATTACTGATGAGTAACTAGTTTTTGTATTAGATTGGTTAGTCGGAAGCTGTTTCTTATTAATTGGTACATTTTTACCTGTCCAATTATATCGAACTGATTTTATGTTTATCTACGCTTATAATTAACTGCTGATTTTCATCATGTAGTAACATCGTTTGGATCAAGAATGGATTAGAACAGATTTAGTTTGAGTTGAAGACTGCTAAGCGATAATGTGGATTGGAAGTGACCTATAGTCAACACTATACTATTTATATACTGAGTCGAAATCCAATGATTGTCATTTCTAAATCCAGTCGATTTGTGGTGTAGCACAATCTTCATTCAAGTTTACTTTATAATCAAAAAACTACAGGACAAATCGTTGCATCAATAAACAATAAACAACATATCACTGTTTACAAAAAATGAACAAACATTTTGTATATCTTGTTTTAAGCTGTAATACAATTTATTTATTTCATCCAGTTCCAAACTTGACTTTAAACTATGTATCATATTTTCTAATTGACCAATACTTTCTGAGACTGTATGAAGAAGACATTTTGTTTGGGTAGAGAGCTTATCGTAATCCATAACGATCCTATAATCGGAGAGTTTTTAAAAAGTACGACAAAAAAACAATCAAGATGATTATTCAACCATTATAAGCAAATATTTGGTAAAAAGAAAGATTACTGAAATAACTTGTCGAAAATAATTGAATCTAACAAGATAGTTAACCTCCATTAATTAACTATGAGCTTCATGCTAAAAACATTATGTCTCGTGATCAATTGAACTACAATCTGGATACATTATTGACTGGATATGAAAACGAAGGCGTAAACGTAAATTTATATATCCGTTGGATTTCATATAGGACTTGATAATAAATGCAAACAAGCACACAACTTGTGTACAGTTTAGGTATAATTTTATCTCACTGTCGAAGTGGACACTTGGATTATATAGTATATGGAGACGATTTGGTGATATTTGTACCAATAGTGCAAACTAAATAAGCTAACGAAACAATTACATCATGCAGTGTATGAAATTACCACAACGAACAGTTGGATTCCAAACATTGTATCCAGTGTACATAATAAATTAACGGCCCTTGCACTGACCTACTTCGTTATTGACGGGGTAGTAACCTTCACACATTGTTCGGAAAGAATTTACTATCTCAGTATTCTGTTTAGTTACAAGGACTGCTGCCACTAAGATCATGCATAGGCTCTTCATGATTATCTACTGAATATCCAACAAGCCCCATGAGCCGTAACAACAGATGGAAATGACACACCATAGTTTCAGACAGAAGCTACTTCATCTATTGTTCCTGAGAGCTATCCATCAAAATGCGTTGAGGTTGATGGATCGCCCGACTTCCACGTTTTCTCATGGTTGAGGTTACCAACCAATCACACAATTTCTTTAATGAATACGTCAATCGCTTCAAGTGGTCTTGTCATCCCATTTCACCTTTTCAGACTAATTTAATCCATGGTTTTCTTGCTTTCCTCCCTCCAATTTACTGGATTGCTATCACTTGAGCATTGTCTTGCTTTCTTTCACAGTGCAACCTGTTTTATGCCTACATCAGATTTGTATACAATCTTTTGATAGGGCCAAATTAAGCTGGTCAAAACAGTTACATGTAAGGCTTGGTGGTAACAATTTAGAGTAATCGTCAAAGAGTAACATGCAGCACGACTGGCCTTGATACCCCAAATGCACTTTTTAGAGCCTGTATATTAAGGCTAGCACGCTTTCTGATGATCTTCTATCTGCTAAAGTTCGGCGATTGTACCGCGACTGGAATTGCACCGATTAAGGACGTCAATGTGGCTCCGGATAGCATGAAAGCATACAGCACATCTTACAACATTATACGGTGGCAATTAATGGTTTTGACTTTTGGTGACTGAGTTTAAGGTTCAAACCCCTCTCCACCTACTTCGGTATGGGGATTCGCATAGTATCATTAGACCCTACACTTAGAGTACGACTCATGGCTAAGTACCTGGTGAATGGTTTAATTTTAATCTATAAATAACATTTTGTACCGAAACATGTTGTCTAATGTTGTTGACGTAACCTGATTACATCTAAACGAGGTAAGGAATAGGTGCGAAAAAATTCTTATTCAACATATCAATATACTATTTTACTAGAATAAAAATGGGGTATTTATTTATAAACTGTTCAAGTCAGTCATGATAGCGAATACATTATTGTTAATTAAATTTGCTCTGAAATCATTAGAAGCTTGTAATTTATGTTTACAACTGATGTTACACAAATTTTGAAAATATTCATGTAGACAAATTAGTATATTTTCACATTCAACAAACAACAATTCAGTCAATGTAATAAAAGCAAAACAATCGAAAGTTCTTCTCTCTTTTTATTGAAATACATATTAAATCAATATTACTAAAAGAAGAAACAGGTTGACTTTAATCTTCTTAAATTGTTTACTAATTGATATACAGGTCTATCGATCCACTTCCCCAAATACAATATCCAAAGTACCTAAACCATTGCAGTTATTAAATGGAAGCATAAAAAAGTAAGTAAATAAATAAACACTGTAAGTTAACTATCAATGAATTTAAGTGTTGAAGTTTAGATTTCACTAAATTTTCTTTGGAAATCATATCACTTATCTAATTCACACAAATTTATATGATATATCATTTTGTAAATTCACAGTTACTTAAATTCCAATTTCTTTTCTACAAATACTTCGATTCAATAGAATTCTATTTACTCATTTCATCCATATATATATATATATATATATATATATATATATATATATATATATATATATATATATATATATATATATATATATATAACGAGAGTAGGAGTAACTTGTCAAAATATTGTATTCTAAAAATTCCACATTGTACTAAACATACAGTATTGAATAGTCATTAATATGATTAACATTATTGTTATAACTGGACGGGTATTGGAAAAAATCGATCATTCGGAACTGTCCTATCTGAAGGAAACTTTTAGAATTTTTTCCCTTACTTATCAAATAATCAATTTGGACTCAAGGTTGAGGAAAGAGAAAGACCAAAGTATAGCGAAGCAAAACGAGTTCGGTTGGCATTGGCTTAAGGTAAACGGTGTAGGTCAGAAATGTAATTTGTTAGATTATGGATGCTAAGCTACAAACGGAACAGGCACCATATAAAGAAAATTGCGGATGGAATTCCGAACGATGAATTCAACAATTGATACCGGTCAGCGATGTCAAGCTATTATTATTATTATGCATCGAATATAAGCTAACTGTTATCTCCCGACAAGAATTATGAATGGTAACTTTTGAGAACTATTTATCGACCAATGCGATATATTTGTATAATTTCTAAGTAGCTAAACTATTCATATTCATGTTCCTCTTATTATAAGCTTTATTTTAACCCACAGACTATAATTACGCGATTTACCGTTCTTGAGTTCCGCCGAGTCATTTAATTACAGTCTCCAACATTCACAACCACTTTTGGTTAGATCTTGTACAAATGTTATTTTCCATTTTATGGTACGGTGTGATCTGTTTGGTTTTTATATAAACCCAGTATGTTTGAAATACATGATTAATATCGCAGAGGCTGAGGTTGTTGTTCTGAACTCAACAAGTAGATCTAGGCAGGAAGAAGGACCGATAAGGACGATAGACTGCTTGTACGGGTTTACGCGTCATTGGTCTCTAATTGGTGGTATAATTACATCATACATTAATAGGGCAAAAGGCCACAAGTTATAACACTAACCATAAATTTTATAGTTTAAACAAGACGAGATACCTACCAAAAATAAATAATAAACAGTGAATATTGAAATATCAATAAAATGGAGGGATTTCATAAATATGTATTCCATCTATACAAAAGGCAATCCTTTTGTACAAACAAGCCAAAAATATTCAAGGCTGTACATTAGAAATTAAATCAATATACTGAGATGAAAGAGAATATTTGTGGTTCAGCATGAGAATGTTGATAGTGTTATGATCACTAAACCATCCAGCTCACAAAACACAACACATTCAAAATCAACATATGTACACTACGGAACGAATCAAGATAACGCATGGAATATATTTAAACTGGACATAACAGCTCGACCTAATGACTTCAGTAAGTGAACGTAGTTACAGACTGTTAGGACGCAAGTTGATCACAAATAACGTCGAGGGGAAATAAGCGAAGTAATGATACTGATACATTTTGTTTTCTTCGGAAGATTTGTTATATAAATCAATTATTTGTTTTATTTGCTAATACATATATTCTTTTGACAGGAAAAAATGATAATTGTAACCAGTAGCATATAGCTGAAACAAGCAAGTGAACACCGAAACCATTACATTTATTGATTCAATTCACACCAACAAAATTAAAATCATCATAGGGTTTGTCTTCAAAAGGGTAGTATTTAGACTGTTTATAGGAAAGAAATGTACAGAGTTAGATTTAACTATTGTGTTCAATTCTAAACATCAATATCATTATCTGACGCTTTCTGGAGTCATTTATTGTTTTTAATTCAATATATTATTTAAATATGATTAAGTAGTCTAAGCCTATTTAGAAAAGAATGGCTTTTGATTAACTGACCGCTAATTCAGCTTAGACATAATTGATTGGTAAAAGTAATGACTAGTTTCTGATACGAAACGGTCGGAAACAAAGGACAATTAAACCTTCAAGAAAGATTTCCTGAGATCAAAGGATCACAAGAGTCGGATGACGAGCTATTTATCAGAGATAACTTGTGGTCAGTATTGACGTTAATGCAAGTTCCTGTTAAATCTTTTTTAAATAAATATTACAGCAAATAGAAATATAACATGAGCTCCACGAATTACATCTATTACTCATCTCGTCCTCTATCTTTTAATATTAAAATGAGCATTTCGTTTTGTTTCCCTCTTTCATAATTTTACTTTTATACTTCGCATGGCATAATTTCTTAGTAAACATCCACTATGTACACAGTTCTAGAATTCCTAAATGTATGTTGAATGTTTCAGTAATGCTAAGGAAATTTAAGCTCACTGTAGTTGACAGGTTTTTGTTCACCTTGTTAATGACTTTCAATGTCGAGTCTGTTTGCCTAAACGACCTGTGATAAAAATAACTCAGCAAAAGTGGATATCCACCGATATTTATTGATACACATATAACATTCAAAGAAAAATACAAATTCCATAGGAAACCTAATAATTAAGCACCTTGTGAACATGGATCAATTCAACCAAAACAAACTAAGAGTTCAAAATCATCTAAAGGATAAACAGAAACTCATCCTTTGAAAAATGTTCATTTTAATCACTTATATTAAAAATTCTAAAACATTAAATATAAAATATTCATAAAAATTATTAACAATATCAAAATTAAACACAATGAATTGTTACCTATAACTGCGACTACATCGGGTAACATAAAACCCCGACAAAGTTTATCTATTGCCGCCAAGTGAGCAAAGCCTGGAGCTTTAATTTTGCATCTGTATGGTTTGTTTGTACCATCGGAGACTAAATAAACTCCAAATTCACCTTTCGGAGCTTCAATAGCAGTATACGTCGATCCAGGTGGTACCTTAATAGAAGTTGAAAAACATTGCTGATTAAATTTTGAAAGTAAAATTATGATAAATCATAGGAAAATTTTAATAAATCGAGCAAAATGTTTCTAAAATAAATTCTTTAAACATGTAACCGAGAACTATGAGAAACCTTTATACTAATAACAATTCCGTCCTCATCAGGGAATAGCCCATATCGAGATCCCGGAGTTTTAGTGGAAAGTCGTGAAAAATGAAGTTCAGCCATGTCAAGTGGAAGAAAATTATCTACCTCAGTCAATGAAAGATGATCGTGAAACATCCTGCATTGACTGTAGTTAGACATGTACATCATTGGATTTCGGCTGAGTGGCTAAGAGACGAAGAGCTCGCTTGTCAAACTGAAGGGTGATCCTTAGTGGTGTGATAGATGCACACTGTCGAAGAGTCCCAAGCTAGGAAAAAATGGTCGTTCAGTGCTTTCTAGTTCCCAATAGTGGTTCAGCTAAGATCAGCCCGTGATTAAAACAATGAAAACTTAACAATCTCCACGAAACCACTATAGACAGCCAGTCAGCTATAACGTAGGACCAGGACCAGGTACACATATGCATCGGTCCAAGTTGTCATACCTCATTAGCACAACAAGATGAACACCGAATTCATAGAAGCATTTACTATAAGAACAAACAAAAGTATTTTTAAAAATTAAGAAAACACACACCAAGTAACCTTCTGAGAATAATTTGAAATGATGAATAAGAGCTTCCATAGAACTTTTCATTTCAGCACGTTTAGGTGGACAAATTTTGGCGTCATCCACTTTGATCTCACCTTTGGGCATTTTATTAAGGCATTGTTCTATAATACGCAATGATTGACGCATTTCTTCCATACGTACTATAAATCTTAATTGTTAAATAAGAAAACACTAGTGATTAGATTATTTCAAAAAGAAATCCATATACTAAAATTATTGCCCAGGAAAATGTACACTCATTGCGTCTGATCTATAACCACATACATAGAATAGAACAATTGACAGTTGAAAGTAGTGACTATAGTGAGACCATAATTTATGAAAGACCTGTGGGAGACATCAAAATAACCGTGAGAAAACTCACCAACCTACTCGGTTCTAAAGAGAGTTGTAAATTAGTATAGGAAATCGAAATCGGGATTTAGAGTTAAAAGTTATGGTTAGGAATAAGAGTAAGAGTCTATATTACGAAATGATATCATCTATAATTCCAAAATGATATTCAACCATATGGATTAATGAATATTGAGCCAAAACCCAAAACTCACTATCTTAAAACTTATTAGTTCGTCCATAAATTATGGTCTCGCCTTGATTATTTCTTTTATTCACACACAGACCTACATTCATTATAATGCCCTTAACAAAGAGGAAAAGTTTGAGCTAGGTCAATTAATCATACAATACCTTAAAACCTGCTGCGAATGATATGCTGATTCAAATTGTCACAATCTCACATTTGTACACTAAGAAAGGAAATACTAATAATATACAATAAAGTGGGGAATTTAAGTGTGAACAATATATTTTAAAAAGTTCATATGAGATGGGAAAACAAAAAGTATGGAGTGAACCTAAATTCCAAATTTGTATGTCTAAATGTCAAGGAAAGAATTTTACAATGCAATTTAACTGTCCACTTTTGATCCGTGAACGTCAAATTTGAAATCGTCCAGTGAAAATTCTGTTTGCTTATTTATTAGTTTTTTATTAAAAACAAAGACGATTGATGAAATGAACAACAAAAAAGGAGTAAAAAGAGAAAAACAATGTAAATATTGACAGACATAATTTAAACAAAAATATAACTAAAATAGAAATCATGTCTCTTAAACATAGGTTTACTAATTATGAAGAATGTAAAAAGAAATCTACAACAGGATAACTACTGGGTATCTTTAATGTGATTTGTGGTTTGTGTGTAGGTTGTATCCATCTTTTTGACCTTACGATTATAGGTCCACCGCAAAAGGTTTTTGAAGACTAGCATTAATGTAACAGATCAGGATCTCTTGATAGATAGTCTTTAACCTTTAGGTTAAACAGTGTGATATGACTAAGTTGAAATTACATAACAACAACAGTATTTAAGGGTACGGTAACAAAAACTGTTTTACCAATGTTTTCGAGTCTCGCATCATTTTGTTAGGGGCGATATGATGGGTAAAAGTAAAACTAGGGGTTAGATCTTAATTAATTGACATGTCAGTGACTTACAAAGCAGATAACCATTAATTCCTGTCTGAGAAAGACAGCTCACTAGACATATTGACTAGAATTATATATCTTAGTTTAGAAAATTATTTTATAAATAGTAACCCGTTTTCCGTCAACTTGATTACGTTATGAGAAAATAATTCCAACAAAAAATAAATTCAAGAATACATCACGCTAATATATTTAAAAATTGTCAAGAAAATTTATACACTGTAGACAGTAATTAACTAACCGATCATAGCAGTCACCATGAACACCAACTGGTACATCGAAATCCATATCTTCATAGGCATCATAAGGTTGTGTTTTACGTAAATCCCATTTAATCCCACTCCCACGAAGCATAACCCCCGAGAATCCCAAATCTATAGCATCTTCAGCGCTAACAATACCAACATCTTTAGTGCGAGTAATCCAAATGGGATTATCAAACAATAAATCGCTAATCTGATCGATCAAATCAAATACAAACCAATAATGATGGGGATTTTGTAGTTCAAGTGGATACTTTTTGTGGTGTTACATTCAGTGGGCCAGATGGTTTAATTGTGTAGCCCATTACATAAATTAGGCGCATGTGATGTTGTCCATAATGACAATGAAAGCTTCACAATTAAGCCATATAGCTCAAAGAACGCAATACTACCAAAACAAATCAATAGATTCAGGTGACAACTGGAATATAATCAACGATAAAGAAAGGACGATAAAACGTTCATAGTACATAGTGAATTCATATTTTGTCCTTCATTCTTCAGTTCTATACAAGATACGAAGGGATCGGGACTGATTAGTACAGCGTAAACAAATTAATTATAAACTAGCCTCAGAGAGATGATCGATTTTGTTTGTCAGTTCTAGGGACTCCTCTCTAAATTCAAATTCAAAATCAACTACTACGTGTGTTTCATTGTAAGCATATTAGAAATTACATCAATAAACTAATAAAACCACTGAATAATTTGACAAAAACCCAGCGAATGGAGCTATTAAATACTCAAAATAAGAAGTTTGGTGATATGCGTGCCGATAATATAGTACTTGGCAATGTAAATCATGGTAGTAATTCATTAAAAATGTTTAGAAAGATCTATTTGAATCACGCATTCAGGAAGCTTTTCACTTGGACTTAAAAGTTTGACAAAGAAATGGGAGTAAAATATGAATGCTAGGAGATTTATTCTATCATATACTAAAATTTAAGGCCCAGACCGGTTGTATTTAAAACTATCCTCCTAAATGCTATGGCTACGTGCCCTTGGGGTGGATACTAACCCATCCCTCCAGGTGTAGCAGTGTTTATATACAGTCCTCTGAGACCAATTACTACTTATTTACCACCATCACCTCTCTGTTTACTTTGTTTCTGATGTTCATATTTGATTATGGTTACGATGTGGACTGTGTTGCTTTATATTTGAACTAATTCATCTGAATGTCGTCTGCATCCACCTGAATTTACTGTTCGCCTATCGATTAGTTGCAACAAAATTCTAGGACTTCTTACTGTATTATGTTGATTTATCAAACCCCAGTATTACAGTAGACGAGACACAACAAGCTACGTAGGGACGATAAGCGAAGTCACATTTCAACAACCCATCATCTGATTATGACCAAAATGTAGATTTGATTAGTTTATTATTGTTCGAAGTTTGAAAAAGATGTTTTCTGTATTTATTTGGGGGAAAATATAAGCATACTATTAGTGATGCACAGCGGCACAACAAAATTCGGCGATCATTTTCAAAAATACCTGACAAACTATGATCTATCTATATAAACCGATACACTGATATCAGTTGTAGTTAGATATGAGTGCATTTTTATCGATGTTTTAGACTGAAACTCGACACAAAAAACAGAAATTTTTAGAAACACAATTTTAATTAGAGACCGCTAATCTCTTAACATTTTACTACTCGACGCTCTTGTTCACAAGAACATCAATACTTTGAGTGACTCGTCGCTATTTATAAAAATCAGAATACCAACGCACCAATGAACGTAACATGAAGTTATATCAACAACAGAACTAGCACTCGCCCAGTGACTCTCAACTCAGAACACGACTACAAGGAAAAGTTTCAAAAAGGTTTTTATACAACCGACGTTAAAAGAAGAAAATAATGTGTACTTATAGTTTTTAGTGTCTCTGGGGAATAAAAAATCCAGGCTTCAAGATTCATGGCGCCTAATTTATTCGTACGTAAATCTTTAAAGTTAGAAGTGGAAATTACTATTTGTTGATTCGGGTTGAAATTTCGGTAAGCAACCTATTTCCAAACAATACTTACATGGGAAAAGCATATGTACTGGAAGGCGCAATTGTCCCTTCCATAATATAACAGGACCAAGACAGCTTCCACTGAACTGCAGACCTGTAAGCCTCACCAGTGTGTAGTTAAATATTGGAACGAATAGTCAAACGGACCATAACTTGTTAAACAGAGAACAACATGGATTAGAGAGATTAATCTTGTACAGCGAACCTCCTAATAGCGAGGGAATTTTGAATAAAGGTGCTAGACAACGCTGACGATGTAAAAATCTGGCGAGTAATAACTGGAAACATAGACGCATGGCTCTTCAGGCAGACTTAAATAATATGATTAACTAAGTCATGGGGCACCAGGACTCCTAAATCTTTTTCGACTTGAAATACTACAGAGAGGAGTTTCCTAAGTGTAACTGTAGTTTGCGACATGTCGCAGATTGACTAACTTCACACTTTGAAGTGTTAAAGGTAAGTCCGTTATCGTTGCCCAACTTTGAAGTCGCGTCAGATCCTCCTGAAGTGCTTGTGTATCGTCTTGGTTGCGTATCTCTCTCCAAAGTTTCACGTCGTCGGCAAAAAGTAATAAGTCTGACGTTACCTGTTGAGGAAGATCATTTATGTAGATCAAGAAGAGAAGAGGTCCTAGTACTGAGCCCTGGGGGACTCCACTAGGACACTCCATAGTCTGAGATAAAGTGAAATTAACCCTAACCTTAAAGTGTCGATTTTTTAGGTATGAAGTAAGCCAATCGATTAGAGGTGGTTTGATACCTAGTCGTTTGTGCTTGTTGATAAGACACAAATGGTTAACCTTATCAAAAGCTTTTGAGAAATCAAGGTAAATGATATCAACCTTCTCCTTGCGATCAAGGATGATTGTCCATCTGTCCACCACAGTCAGCAGGTTGGTTATACAAGAGTAACCCTTCCTGAAACCATGCTGTTGGGGTGAGAAGAAAGTTAAGGACAGTAGATAGTCGTCTAAACCGTCGCATATCAGGGACTCCATGAGTTTTGAAGGTAATGACAGAAGAGCCACCGGCCGATAACTTGAAGGTTCATTGCGTCGACCTCCTTTGAAAATTGGTGTGATGTGAGCCAACTTCCAGTTTTCCGGTAATTTGCCTCGGCTAAGCGAGTGTGAAAACATCACGCTAAGCGGCGTTGCCAGGATTGAGGCTGCCTCCCTCAGTATGGCAGGATGAACCATGTCCGGGCCAGGAGAAGTGTCAAGTCTTAAGTGATACAGTTTCCGGAACACCAAGTCAGCGCTCAGGTTCACTTTGGAAAGTCCTGTGCAGTTGAAGATGTAGCTCTCATCAGTATAGTTGATGTCAGCCGGTTGAAATGTTTGAGAGTAATGTGCCGCCAGAAGGTTAGCGACGTCGCCATCGTTGTTGGTCGGGCCGTTAAGACCTAGCAGTTGAGAAACTCCTATTTTGGCTTGACGAAGAGAAGCTGCATAACGGAATAGGCTTTTAGGGTTAGAGGCGAATTTGTCCATAAGCTTTGTTTGGTACTGAAGCCTGTCTTCTCTTATAGCCTTCGTGCATGTGTTCCTGATATGTTTGCATTGCCTATACGCTCCATCGTTATTAGTTCGTTTGTATTCCGCCCAACAGTGCCTTTTGCGGCTTAGCAGGCGAAGGGTACGGTTCTTGATTACTGTAGGTGGCTTGAAGCTTTTGGGAACCGTTTGAGGAACTGAATGGTCTGTAGCACATAAGAGCATGTGCAGTAAGAGGTCCCAGTGACCGTCCACATCAAGTTGAGGGTGAACATCCCAAACCACCTGTTGTAGATAGCCATGTGTGGCTGGCACATTCAGCCGTTTAAAATTCCAACGCAGATTATTGTTGGGATACCTTAGCTTAGTTTTGATGACAAAACTGAAGGCTATGACGGCATGATCGCTTTTTCCCAGAGGAGCCAGGATTGAGAGGTTGTCGATTAGGAGTTCTTCGTTAGTGAATACACAGTCTAAGCGCGATGGTGTCTAACTGTTTCTCCAACGAGTTGCCGACCTCACATTTTCATATAAGCCCAAGTTATCGATGAGGTTGAAGAATCGAGCTTCAGTTGAGTTGTCGCCTCCAGTGTACGTGTGTTCCGCGAAGTTGACTCTAGGGAGATTTAAGTCCCCTAGAATCAGGATGTGTGTGAAACCGAGACGGATAGAGCGGGATAGTCCTTCCAGCATACGACTATCGCACTCGGTGTCGGCAGTTGGCTTCCAGTAAATGACTCCGACCAGGTACCTCGAAGTAGTAGACAATCTTACAGAGCACCATATGGATTCCTCAAGATTGTTAAACTCGAGGTTGTGAACCTGGTGCACCTCCAAGCAAGAGCTTATGTATATGGCTACTCCGCCCCCAATTCCTATTTTTCTGTCGTTGCGGAACAAAGTCATCCCAGGTAATGCTAACTCTTGATCCGAGAACTGAGAAGATATCCAGGTTTCAGATATTCCTATCAGATGGGCCTTGTTAGCTTTGCTAAGTTCACGTAGTTCATTCAGTTTGTTTGGTAGACTCGCGGCGTTCATATATAAGCTGTTTATGCTTTCAATTTGGAACGCGTGAGCTTCGTCCTGTTTTTCTGTATGAACCTTATGTGAATGGACAGGCAGCCCACCTATGTGAGGTTTGCCGAGGTGGTAGGCCCTGTCCTCTACACGTTTTTTTATCGTTCAGACAGTCCACAAGTGGAATGGTCAGCTCCAACTTGCCTTTGTTCTTGGTCCTAACTTCGTATGGCCTATCCGGGTGCATGTGGATTCCAGATGGCAATCGACGTCTATTAGCACGAAATGCTTCCAGAACTGCAGCCGCCATGTGGGAAGATGGGAAGGTTATCTTAATTAGACGGGGTCTAAGATCACCGTCCTTCTTCGCTAGTCTCGTCACATGCTGAGTCAGTATGTGTTTGAGCCTCAATGACTGTTTGATGAATTTCCATTCCCTGATGTCAGAATTTGATTGAGTAGGGTCTGCATTTTCCGGTATACCTTGGACAATTATGTTTCTTCCGCGGAAAAACTCGTGAGATTCTTTAGGGACGTTTCGTATGATACTGCGCTTAGAGTACGGTATGTCGGGCAGTATTCTTACGTTACCATCGGATTTCAGTAAGTGACTAGCTAGCAGGTTATCCTCTACGTCGGTAGCATTCCTAAGTGTTACGCGAAGTAGCCTCGGGTGATTTTGATGCTTACAGTCCTTTCCCCAAGTGAGTCGTGTGACCGTCAAAGGCTCTACTCTAGGGATTTCAAGCTCCTTGTTTAATTCTGCTCGGAGCATCCTGTCGTTTTTGTCCTGCAGACTGAGAGGAAGATCAGGATTGTCAACGAGGTTCATGATAATGAGAGAATCGTCACGAACTGTTGTTAATTTACCAGGTTTCACGATGGGTTCAGGTTTAGTAACTTGTTGTTTGGAGGTCAGTGTGCGTTTATGAATCATGGGCTCTTTATTGACCGGACGAACAGTCTTAGGGGTAAACTGTGCGACTAAATCACCAGTTATTTTCCGTGCAGCAACGCTTGGGTTGCTCGGCTTAGGCGGTGATGCCTGGTTCTTTTGGGCTCTCTTAACGTGGGTCGAATCACCTGCAGGGTTTTTGGCAACCACTGTTATGTTCGGGGACCCTGAGCTGGGAGACCCGAGTTTGCCTAGGGAGTTCAGTACCGTCGACGTAATGATGGTACTGAGCCTCGACACGTCGTCGTTAGTGTTGATGGATGCTCCATCGATGGAATACCTATCGACATCCCTGTTTTTGAGTCTGTTGCACGCTCTTGTTTGTATATCAGTTTTTTACTATCGTTTTCCAAGTTAACTGACAACTTGTTCCGAAGACCTGTCAGTAAGACAATGATGTTACTCAGCAAGACTACGGAGTCTGTGTTGCACGTGACACACACCCACTTTTGCTCTGACTTGCTGAGTCTGTTGTAAGCAGTTGCTGTCAGATCTGTGCATGGTTCGTGGAACCAACCTTTGCAGTTGTCGCACTGCATGCCAGTTGTGACAGCAAAACGGCATCCCGGACGTTTGCATGAGTT